GAGGGTTTTCTGGGGGAAGCATAGATGTATTGCCTGCATGTGTTGTGACGAAGGTTGCTTCATTGCCACAAGTGATTTGTGGAAGCACTTTCGATATTAAGTTTCTGCCGAAGGGTGTACTGATGTACGTAGCCGAGGGGATCTCTTTGTTGATCGTCCGAAAGTTACATGTGTTGCTTGTAAACTCTGCATGTGAAAGTTTTGTTCTGTGCGTCTTCCGAGGGGTATACCCCAGTCCCCCACTCCTTTAGGCCGAAGGCGAGTTCGGGCTGAAGGGGTTATGATGTGTCGCCGAGCTACCGAGGGGTGGTAACATTGATGAGCCGAAAGCTCGGTGAGTTTCGTTGGCAGAAGGCTGTGGTGAGTGATAGCCGGAGGCTATCATTCGAGGGCACCCCCAGTATTGACGAAATATAGCCGTTGTAATATAGCCGTTGGGAGAGGGTTCCACGTGGCGCATGTTCGTTGGCAGATGGGGGGCGGGTGCCATCCATTGGTTGAACCGACGGCCCGTAATGATGGCCTTTTCAAATCGAGGCCCAGTTCTCGAGGCTGAAAGCCTATATATACCCCAAGTCGGAGCTCAGTTCCCTTGTGCGTTTTTATGCGATAGCGAAGCTCTGCCAAAATTTCTAGAGAGAGAAAGTCTTTGCTCCGATCAAACCCCATTTTTAAGGTCAGTTCTTCCTCAGTTCTTCGTTTCTTTAGCATACTTTGCTACTTCGGCCTTAGATTTAGCGCTTTTAGGTGCCCCTGGCTAGTATTCTTTTCCAATCCTCCTCCTTATTCTGCGCAAAGATGTCCTCGGCAAGCGACTCCCAAAACATCTCGGAGGAAGCCCCCGCCCAATCTGAGGGCTATTCAACTACGGGGTCATCCAGCGAGCAGCCGTCGGCAGGAAACGACTCCGCGATAGCCGAAGAGGTTCAAGGCCAACTCCGCACTGAAATGGAGGCGGAGGAATTCGAACAGGTGGTGGCAGATGAGGAGATGGCCCTCGCCCTCCAAGTTGCAGAGGAGGAAGAAGAGAAGGAGAGGCAACGAGTCACGGTAGCCGTTTTGCCTTCGCGAGGCGCCGGTGAAGCGAGCAGCTCCCGGCCGATTGACGCCGTGCCCCTCCGGGTAGCTTCGGGGAAGAAGAGAAAGAAGCAGAAGGCTACCCCGAAGAAGAAACAGGCGGCGGTAGATGCAGGACGGCCGGTGGGAATCCCCGAAGGACATTCCTATCTTAACACAGCCGCGCTAGATTTGAAGACGAAGGCTGTGGAGGCGGAGTATCTCAAGACTCAGCTCCTGGTGGGCCCGTCGGCACAGGTGGTGGTGCCAGGCCCTGACGACGTGTTGCTACATCCCCCGGAGGGCTGCTGTGCCGTGCATATCCTTTCGGTGGAGTTGGGCCTTCGGTTCCCGCTCCACCCTTTCCTGGTGGAGTACCTCCGGTTCGTAGGTCTCGCTCCCTGCCAGCTGACCCCGAACAGTCACTCCTACATCACCGGGTTCCTTTCGCAATGCCGAAGCCGAGGAGTTGAACCCACTCTTGATCAGTTCTTCCTATCCTTCAATCTGTGCCGGGGGGGCGCCGCTAATAGTGAGGGTTTTGCCAACCTTCAGCAATTGCCGGCTTGGAGGCTGTTCTCGGAGGTGCCTTCGTCCCACAAGGGATGGAAGGACCGCTTTTGCTTCCTCAGGATGCCGGGAGTTACATTCCCGAGGCCCCTTCGCAACCATTTTAAGAGACACCCCAAGGTTGGCAATGCATCCCTCGAGAGTAATGGGAGGAAGCTAACAAAGAAGCCGCCGGGTTCAGAAAAACTGACGACTATCAAAGCGGCCACGCTTCCGGAGGAACTGCTTCTGCTCGAGTTCCAGCGGTACCGCCTGCCGGGGGAGAACGATGAGAGATATCCTCTCTTCGACCGGGGTTCCCAGACTGCCAGAGGTTGCTTTCGAGGGACTCCTGATTCTGGTACTTAGTGATTTTTGTCTTTGACTTGCCTTGTTTTCTAATTTTTTTTTTTTTTTTTTTGTCTTCTGCAGGCGGCATAATGGACCCGAAGGCATTCGCTAAGCTGTCCAAGCAAATGGCGAAGGAGGAGAGAAGGAAGAAGGAGGGATCTTTGACCCAGAAGCCCGTGGATTCCTTCCTCAAGAAGGACGAGGCTGCTAAGACACCGGAGGGGGAGGGCCCCTCGAAGAAATCTGCCTCTGGTGGTGATGCCGGCTCTGGGGCCGGGAGCTCCCAACTTGGAGAGCTTAAAAGGAAGAACGCCGGCAAAGGCGTGAAGCTCCCGGAAAAGAAGAAAACGAGGGGGGATGCTGGGCAGGGAGATATTCCCGTGGTGGTTATCGACGATCCCCCAACCAAACAGCCGTCGGCCTCCGCCCCTCTGGAGGATCTTGTCGAGGGGGCCTGGCCCCTTGAAACCGTACATTTCCCCAGGCCATCAAGAAGGGGACAGCCATCATGCATGGCACCCTCGACCCGAGGGAGTTCTTGAAGGGTGCCACCCCTTTGGTGGACCGGTCCACCCTCAGCCGGTTCGGGGATGAAGCCCTCGAACTCAAGGCTCTTCAAGCTTCTGCCACTGTAAGTGCTCGGATCTTTTGAATCCTTAGCCCTTCTTCTCTCTCCTTTCCTTTGAATAGTTTTATATTGAGCGCTTCTTACATGTTTGCAGGCTAGCCTAGCTTTCGGGGAACTTGTCCGCAGGGCGGAACAGCACCGCCTCGAGAAGGCCAAATCCGACGAGGTGACGAGGAAGCTCGTCGCAAACAATACCGAGGCCATACGGCAGCTAGCATGTTTGGAGGAGGCCCTCCGGGTGGCTGAGCAGAAGCTGGAGGCGGCAAGGCAGGAAGCTCGGGCCGAGGGGAAGGCTGAGGCGGAGAAAGCCGCTGCCGAGGCCGCCAGGAAAGCTGCCGAGGATGCTGAGGCCCGAAAAGCGGTAGCCATCTCCAACGCCAAGGAAGAGGCGGTGGCGGCTTTCATTGCTGATGGCTGGAAGGCCGAAGAGCAGAAGCAGTGGGTGGCCTCGGTGGTGGAGGCTTCTGCTGATGGCTGGGTGGAGGGTCCCGGGGCAATGTGGCTGGCCCGAAAGGGAAAAAGCTTCTTCGAAGGCGGACAGTACTTCACTCAAGCCCTGATTTATCGCAAGTTGGCCCGGCACCACGGGGTGGACCCGAAGGAGTTCGACCCGGCCCCGTTTGGTCTCCCCCCTCTGCTTCCTGACATCCAAACCCCCATGCCCGAAGGCGAAGAGAGGCCTTTGCTCGAGGACTCGGAGATGGACAAGCTGGCCTCGGATGATGAAGAAGATGAGGATGATGCAGCCTCGAAACCGAAGGATGATGTCGCCGGAGGGGCCCAGGCTTAAGATTTTTCTTGCCATACTTTGATGTAATAGTTGTAGGCCTCGGCTTCGGCCACATTTGTAAACAGACATCCCTTTGTACTTGTATGATTTTGGTGATGAATGCTTTGCCCTCGGGCTTTTTCTAAATGAATGCCCCTGGTTTTATTTTATTGTATGCCTTCGTTTGGATGAATGTATGTCTGCTTTCTCGGAGGCCACAAGTTTGTGGACTTAGAGATTTTTCTAAGTGAGAATCCCATCATGAGCCCTCAGTTGCACATTGGGATTGCCGGGGCTTATTGTTGCGGACTTAGAATATTTTCTAAGTGAAAGTTTGCCCAGGACCCTCTGGATGTAGTGTGGAACGGCCGGGGGGCGTATTTGTGGACCTTTTGTCGTGGGCCTCCGGTCGTAGTGTAGAATCAGCCCCCTTAGGATGTTCGTAGTAGTGAGGCCGAGGGATAAAATGAATTAGACTTAGGAATTCCACTGGGTGAAATTGCATCCTATGCCCCCGGAAATGCTGGGCCCTTGATTGGCAGTGTAGCCCCCCGAAGGGTTCCCGTCTGTGGACTTAGCCATTTTTTCACGAAGTTTCAATAGGTGCTGTAGTGAACCTTCGGGTGTGGGAATTGCTGAGCCCTCGGTACATGTAGTTGACTAGGGGTTCAAGATTATGGACTTAGTGGAATCCTGAGATTTGTCTCCAATAGAATGACCCTTCGGTTGATGAATCTGCTTCGAAGGGCACCAAATTGTCATCATTGAGTGAGTTTGGTAGTATTCCGCCTTCGTCGGTATGAACCCCCCGGTTATAGATTTAGCTTGCCTTAGAACTTTGTGGAGCCTTCGGCATGTCACATAGTTGACTTTGACCCGACCGACTTTCGGCCTTAGCCAAATTTAGGCGAAGTTTTGCTTAGTGAGCCCTCTTCTTGGGCTTCCGGGGAAACCGTTGTACTCCGAGGCTTTATGTAGGGGAGCCTTCGGCTATGTAGCCAGATGACTTGTTGTAGAGAGATTTTCTTGTGCCTTTGTAGGAGCCTTCGGGAATGTATATCCGAAGTGTTGAGCCTCCGGGGAAAATAGTATCCGGGGAGTTCCTTCCCCCCTACACATCTTTTTTTTTTTTTTTTTTTTTATTTTTTTTTTTTTTTAGATGGTGTAGGAGAGGCATCTAGAAACTTGGTTTCTAGGGAAGGCTTGGCCTATGTGGGAGGCAACGGAACAAACCGTTGGCTCCCCCTTCGGGAATGACCTTCCGATATCCCGAAGGGTTTGAGGGTCGTTTCCTCGGCCCGAGACATCGTCTGTTGCCTGCTTCCCCTTGGGAGATAGCACGGAAAGCGCCTCGGTTTTGAAAGTCGTCCCCTCAGCCCGAGACATGGTCTGTTGCCTGCTTCCCCTTGGGGGATAGCGCGGGGAGCGTTTCGTTTGTGGAAGTCGAATCCTGGGCCCGGGACATGGTCCGTTGCCTGCCTCCCCTTGGGGGATGGCGCGGAAAGCGTTCCTGGGAAGGGTTTTATTTGTGTGTGGGACACAAATAGCCGGGGGTACTTGGTACCAGCCGGAGCCGAGGGGTATCGCACCCCCCGGTTTTTTTTTTTTTTTATTTTTTTTTTTTTTATTTTTTTTTATGAGAGTATGTAAAAGTATGCATAATGTATGCATGGTTGCGTCCTCGTGGGGTACGGCTTAATGAGAAAACACTTGGTGTTTTCATAGAGTGATGGGGGTGACCCATGCACTTGGTACTTGGTACCTAAATTGTTGTTCCCCCTCCTGAGAGGAAGAGGCCTTGGGCCTATTTTGGCGAAGCGATGAGGGCTTGGCCACTCATTTGTAGGAGAGAAAGGGGGGGCCTTGGGCCGCTTGCACAATATGTAGGTGATGAAGGCTTGGCCTTTTGATTATTCTTCAAAAACAGATGGGGCCTTGGGCCATCAATATTTACACTTGCTGAGGATGAGGGCTTGGCCGCTCATGCCTTATTGATAGAATTTGACAAGGTGGTGCACATTCCAATGTCTAGGGACCTCCGTCCCATTGGGGCGTTTAAGCTTGTATGTCCCCGGTTTGATGATGGCTGAGATGATGTAGGGGCCTTCAAACTTAGGCGCCATCTTTCCGCCTTCGGTGGGTAGGCTGGCCTCCCTTCGTCGGAGGACGTAGTCTCCCACCTGGAATTCCCGGGAGCGGACCTTGGCGTCGATGTATCCTTTCACTTGTCTTCTATAGTTTTCGGCCCTGAGGAAAGCTTGCTCTCGGCGTTCTGAGATGAGATGAAGGTCGAGGGCCATGTTGGTGTCGTTGACCTCGGGCTCATACTGTTCCACCCTTCGGGTAGGAAGGGTCACTTCTGTTGGAGCCTTAGCCTCAAAGCCATAGCATAGGGAGAAGGGTGTTTCGCCTGTCGCACGCCGAGGGGTGGTACGGTAGGCCCATAAGATGTTGTGTAGCTCTTCTACCCAGCCTCCCCCTTCGGCCTCCAGCTTCTTCTTCAACCCTTCGAGGAGGGTGCGGTTGGCGTTCTCTACTTGCCCGTTGCCTTGGGGGTAGGCAACGGATGAAAAGGTGTGTTTGATGCCCCACGCCTCCAGGAGGGCACAGAAGGGGGCCGCCTCGAACTGAGTTCCGTTGTCGGAGATGATTTGTTGGGGGACGCCAAACCTTGTGAGGATATTTTTGAGAACAAAGTGGCGGCACCGGGCTTCAGTAATGCTGGCGAGGGGCTCGGCTTCCACCCATTTGGTGAAGTAGTCAATGGCCACGATGATGTACCTGTTGTTGGAGGTACCCCTCGGCAGAGGGCCCACCAGGTCGATACCCCACCGGGAGAAGGGTATGGCGGTGCTGATGGGGGCGTAGTTGACCGCGGGGCCTGCCGGGGGCCTTCTGAAAGTGTTGGCAAGCGGTGCACCTTCGGGCTAGATCAGCACAATCTCTAGCCATCGTGGGCCAGAAGTAGCCTTGAACTATGAGCCTTCGGGACATGGAGAAGGGTCCCTGGTGAGCTGAGCAAGTGCCACTGTGCATTTCCTCCATGGCGACTTCGGCCTCGTCTTGGTGAAGGCACCGAAGGAGGGTGCCGTTGTAAGATCTCTTGTAAAGCCTCCCGTTTTCGAGGGTGTAGCTGGGAGCCCTCAGCTTTGTTAACTTGGCGCGGACTTCGTCCTGGGGCAGTTGCCCTGTGGTAATGAAGGCGATGATGTCGGAGATCCAATCCTCCGGCCTCAAGTTAATGTTCATGACGGGGCTCGCGTGGATGCTTGAGAGGCCGAGTTCCTCAATTCTTGCAATTTTGGAGAGGTGCTCGGGGGATTCATCCGAGAGCTTGGATAGAATGTCGGCCTCAGAATTTTGAGCCCTCGGTATTTGGGTGAGGGAATGTGCCTCAAATACCTTAAGCAATTCTTTGGCCGCTTCCTTGTATTGCTTCATCCTTCCTTCCTTGGCCTCATATTCGCCGGAGAGTTGGCCCACGACTAGCTTGGAGTCGCACTTGACGTGGATCATCTTGGCCTTCAGATTTGCTGCCAGCCGAAGGCCACATAGGAGGGCTTCGTACTCGGCCTCGTTGTTGGAGACTTTGAAGGAGAAGCGGATGGCATAATAGGCGCGGAAGCCTTCGGGTGTGATCAGAACTACTCCCCCTCCGCATGCTTTGGTGGCCGAGGAGCCATCGGTATAGAGTGTCCACCACTCATCGAGGGGTGCCGAAGGCTCCTCGTCGGTTGTTGATCTTGCGGTGCATTCCGTTACGAAGTCTGCCAGGGCTTGGCCCTTAATGGCGGGCCTCGGACGGATATCTATGTTGTATTGACTGAGGAAGATGGCCCATTTTACCATCCGGGAGGAGCTAGTGGGACTCCTCATGAGGGCGCCGAGGGGTTGATGAGTGAGCACCTGGACCGGATGAGCTTGAAAGTAGTGGCCCAGCTTCTTGACGGTCCAAACGATGGCTAGCACCGTCTTCTCGACGGGAGAATACCTGAGTTCGGCCTCCCGGAGGGTCTTGCTGACGTAGAAGATGGCGTGTTAGACGCCGTCCTCCTCTCGGATCAGCACCGAGCTGATAGCCGAAGGGCTAACACCAAGATATAAGTATAAAGTCTCCCCCACCTTTGGTTTGGAGAGCACTGGGGGAGAAGAGAGGTATTTCTTGAGTTCGTCAAAGGCCTCTTGGCACTCAGGTGTCCATTGAAAACCCGCCGTCTTCCTCATGATTTGGAAGAAGGGGAGGGCCCTCTCGGCTGACTTAGAGAGGAATCGGTTGAGGGCCGCCAGGCGACCCGTCAGCCGTTGAACTCCTTTGACGTTGCGTGGAGGCTCCATGTTGATGATGGCCTGAATCTTCTCGGGGTTGGCCTCAATACCCCTTCGGCTGACCATGTAGCCCAAGAACCTTCCTCCCTGCACGCCGAAAGTGCATTTCTTCGGATTTAGCCGGAGGTTGAATTTTTGCATGATGGCAAAAATCTCCCGGAGGTCGTCGGCGTGAGTGCTTGCCTTCCTACTTTTGACGATCATATCGTCAACGTATGCCTCCATGGTGCGTCCTAGGACAGCTTGAAAGACCCTAGCCACCATGCGTGTGTAGGTGGCGCCTGAATTTTTGAGGCCGAAGGCCATCACAAGATAGCAGAAGATGCCTTCGGGTGTCATGAAGGCAGTTTTTTCAGCGTCTTCCTCATGCATGTAGATTTGATGATATCCGCGGAACGCGTCGAGGAATGACATGATTTCGCATCCCGCGGTCTCATCCACTAGTTGATCAATGTTTGGCAGAGGGAAGGGGTCCATGGGGCACGCCTTATTCAGATCCGTATAGTCCACGCACATGCGGAAGGTAGGAGGCTTCTGTGCGAGGACTACGTTTGCCAACCAAGAAGGGTATTTCACCTCCTTGATGTGTTTGATGGAGAGGAGCATAGACACCTCATTCTTTACGAACTCCCTTCTCTCGGCCGAGAGGGGTCTTCTTCGATGTTGCACTGGTTTGGCCGAAGGGTCTACCGCTAGGCGGTGGGTGATAACCCTTCGGTCAATTCCTGGCATGTCCTCCGGCCCCCATGCAAAAACAATGGAGTAGGCGCGGAGGGCTTCGGTGATGCCAGTCTTCAGGTCTTCGGGGAGCTTGGCCCCAATCTTCAGGACTCTCTCCGGCTTGGCCGGATCGAGTAAGAAATCTTCGGTCTCCTCGGCAGGTTCAGCCCTCGGCCTACCTTCTTCTTCCTCCAGGGCCTTGGCGGTGATGGTGTCAATCCGAAATTCAGTTTTACTAACCTTCTTGGTAAGTTGAAGGTAGCAGGCCCTGGAGAGCTTCTGATTTCCCCTCGAGTAACCGACGCCGGTAGGCGTGGGGAACTTGAGGCAGAGGTGCCTCATGGAGATGACGGCTTCCAAGTCCTCGAGGGCAGGCCGGCCGAGGATGATGTTGTGCGCGCAGTCGAGGTTGACGACGACGAATTCCACTTCGAGCTTGGCTCTATGGGACCCGTCGCCGAATTCAACGACGAGGGTGATGACGCCTTCGGCGTCTATGCTGTCCCCCGTAAATCCGGAGAGGGGGGTGTTGATGTGTCGAAGGGACCCTCTGTCAAGTCCCAACTCCTGAAAGGTGCTGAGATACATGACGTTGACAGAACTCCCCGTGTCGACGTAAGTCCGGTGGATGATGGCATCATTGATCTCAGTGCGGATGACGAGGGCATCCCTATGCGGCAGGGAGCCCGAGGGGAGGTCCGCATCTGTGAAGAAGATGGGATCCGTCCTCGGCCTTTTAGTAGGGGGCATGTGATTGACCTCCCCAATGTAAAGGGACTGTGCCCACTTCTTCCTTTGGCTTGCTGAATCGCCTCCGGTGTTGCCGCCGTTGATCATATGAATATGGCGTTTGTATTGTTGATGGGAGCCCTCTCCCTCGTCATCGAGGCCCCCAATTTCGCGCTTCTTCCCCTGTGGGTTTCCCAAGGGGATGGTGTTGGGGTTTACCCATTTATTTGCCTTTGGCGGAGGGCCTTGATGATGTGGGGGGCCCTGGGGAGGAGGGCCCCGGATAAACTGAGACAAGTGGCCCGCCTGTATCAGCCTCTCGATGGCGTTCTTCAGCTGATGGCAGTCGTCGGTTTTGTGTCCATGGTGGCGGTGGAAGCGGCAGTAGGGCTCATCAGGACCGATGGCATAAATCTCGAGGGGTGTTCGGGAGTCTCGCTCAACGAGCCCCCGCTCTTCCGCGTGATCAAGAATGACGCTGACGGGATGCGTCAAGGGAGTGCGTGGGTGCTCCAGGAGGACGGGTTGCGCCCATGCCTTCGGATTGTTCTTGTAACTGCCCCCGGGTCTGGTTTGGCCACCTCGGGAGCGATCGTTGTATTGGGCCTCGCGGTTGGCCGGAGGGGGAGGCCCTCCGGGCCGATTCCTGCCTTCATTCTTCTGAGAGGGGTCCGTGTTGCGGCGGTCCTTCTCGATTTCCTCTGCTTCAGCATATCGGTCCCCCCGCTGAAGGGCCTTCGTATAATCGCGGGGGGGATCAGTGATAAGGCTCCGGGAGAAGTTACCATTGCGGAGGACGGTGTGGAAGAGGGCCATCAGGGTCCTGTCATCGGCGCCTTCGACCTCGAGGGAGGCCTGCCTCCAGCGTTCCAGGAAACTCCGAAGGGTTTCCTCCTTCTGTTGTCTCACGTTCAGAAGGTGGGAGAAGTGTTTCTTTGAGCGGTGCCTCCCGGCAAACTGCGTAAGGAAGCGGTGGGCAAGTTCTTGCCACGAATCAATGCTGCCTTCGGGCAACCGGTTGAACCACTCATACGCTGGTCCCTCCAAGGTGGAAAGGAACCAACGGCATAAGTATTCGTCCGATGCCCCCATCATCATCATGCTGTTTTGATAACGGCTATAGTGCTCCTGGGGATCCGTCTTCCCCTCATATGGTTTGATAGGTTGCCCCCGATATTTGTGGGGGATTTTGGCCGCCAACACCCTTGGGGTGAAAGGCGTCCTAGTGCGGAGCTGAATGAGGGGCTCGCCTGAGCCTTCGGCAAGTTTACGTTTCATTTCCTCCACCTGTGCCCGGAGGTCAGCGTACTCCGGATCTGGCCTCGCTGTGGAAGCCGTCGGGGGTGCCTGACGATTCTCCTCGAGTTGACGGAGGAGAGCTTCAATGATTTCGTCCTTGGGATCCTTCAGGGCAACCCCTTGGGAGTTGGGCCGGAAGGATTGCGCCTGATTGATCTGGTGCCTGGCGTCATCGGCATGGAGGAGGGCTTTGCCTTTGCTTCGTGGGGGAGGCACGCCCTCGGCGCTCGAAGCAGAGGCTCCACTCTCCTGGGGCCTGCTGAATGCCTGTTTCCCGAGGCGGTCTTGGACCCCTCGGTGCCCGGGAGCTCCCCCAAGCCTCTCAAGTACAGAGGTTCGGGGTTTCTCTTTCATCATGGGGCGCTTGTCCCTGGATTGGGCCTCTTGGGAGGCGGTATCCTGCGCCATGACCCCCTCGGCATTGCCAATCCCCGGGGGCGGATTGTTGAACAAAGGAGGGAGTGGTGGTAGTTGGATAACATTCCCTCCAGCGTGGGGCTGAAGGGGCGCCTGGGAGGCGAGGGCTCCGGAATTGAGAGCCATGTTTTGAACGAAGGCCGCAAAGGCAGCCTGAAGATCGATGGCCGGGGCCGGAGGGGGAACTTGGTTCTCACTCCGATCCCTCCTTCGATTATCAAGGCCAATGCGGGCATCAGGGGCGTTCTTCTGTAGCTGCTGACGGAGGTCAGCGGTAGCCTGCTCCAACTCAAGGATGACACCACCCTCGGGTACTAAGAGCCTGTTGGAGGCCTCAGCCCCGTTGGTTTCGCCGGGGGCGACGTGGTTCTCCTCCAGAGTTTTGGATTGGGCACGAGTGGTTCTTCCCATTTTTTGGCAAGTGTTTTGTATTTGGTAGAGGGGGAGGGTTTCTTACTTGATTGTTCTGACCTCTCAACGAGAGCACCAAATGATGGATAGTCTACCCGGGGGGTATCTTATCCGAGGGGTTATTGCGGGAATAACTAGAGAGAAGTCAGAGTAAATAGGAGGAGAGAGAGTCGATTTTATTAAATGAACTCAGCCTGGTTTACAAGGTGAATAAGGGCTGCTATTTATAGCAGCAATAAATGCGATTAGAGTACACGTGTCAGTAATCCAACGGCCGAAGGGTCACATCAGCCGGGTGGCACCGGCAGTGGCATGTTCACCGCATTGAATGCGGTTGGTGGATGTGACGTTGCATTAAATGCGGTGGTTGCTTGTCTCCAGAGGGAATCTTTGACGATTAAGTGGTTGGCCGAAGGCTTCTCCTTCGGCCGAGGGCTCTGTGTAGCCGAAGGCTTCATGTAATCGGGGACCCCTGTGTAGCCGAAGGCCCTGTGTGACCGGAGGCTTGGTTCAGCCGAAGGCTTCCCTGATGCCGAGGGCTTGATAATGCCGAAGGCTCCTGTTTTTCCCGTTTTCTCCCAGTAGCTTCGTACGCCCAAAAAAGGCGATCCTGAGAGTTTCGGAGCCTTCGGCCAAGGAGGCCGAAGGCACCCCAGTGCGTGTTCTGGGCTTCTTTGAGGTTCGGGCCGTCGCATTTGGGTCTGAGATGTCCTCTGGGCTCAATGGACTCGTGTAGGAGAAGTAGGAGTCTATGGGCCGGGGGTTCCTGGGCCATATACTCCATCAATAATCAACTTTCAAATAACAAAAAATGCATCCACAATATTTATACCCCATCTATCTATTAGTACAAAAACATTTTATTAAGGAATTCAATCGTCACTAGATGATAGATCACACAAATGAGTATATGGTTGTATTAAATACAATTTTACGATCGTATCTACAATAGTGGTGCATTTGTGCGGCAAGATTCAATAATCTTTGTAATAATACATCAAAAAATTATAAAATATAAACAAGTAAATGCTAGAATACTCCCTTAATAAGTGAGGGTACCATATCTACATGCGCGGAGCTAGGGGTGGACCAATCTAGGTCATGACTCATCCCAAATTTAAAAAGAGTTTAATTTTTAAGGTAAAAAAATTCGTGTAATTTTTTTCTAAATATATTCTTTGTATCAGCTCAGTCCGGCTCAGTGCCTGGCTCTGCCCCTGCATATCTACAATACATATGATGGATTAATATCATTTTTTACCATTTATTTATAGGAAAAATTGAAAATAATAATCTCAGCTATTGCCGGTCCGCCGATAATAATCCCAACTATTGATTATTTTTTGTATAATCCCAACTCTATGGACCGTCCGCCAATAATGGTCCATGACCAAATATTACCTCCTATAAAAAGTGAATTTTAAATAGAAATTAATCGTAAAAATTAAAAGTTGGGATTATTTATAGGGATTACTTGTTATATCATTTTTAAATTTGATATGGTGAAAGCTTTTGACAGAATTTCTTGGTCCTTTATTAAGCATGTTCTTATAAAATTTGGTTTTTAACAATTTTGTTAACCTTATTCTTAACAACCTCCATGCGACTTGGTGCTCTATTCTCATTAACGGTGTGCCGAAAGGTTTTTTTAAACCCTCCCGGGGGTGAAGCAGGGGGACCCCTTATCCCCTATATTGTTCATTATGGTGGCTGAGGTTCTTACTAGGAATTTGAATAACGTGTACTTATCCGGTAAGGGTATTGCTTATAGCACCTTTAAAGGTATGCCATGCATTAGCCACCTATCTTTTGCTGACGATTTGATTGTCTTTTCTAATGCTAGCAAAAAAACGCTGATAAATCTTCAAAGGATTATCACTGACTATGAACTTTTTTCAGGTCAACTTATCAGTAAGGAAAAAAGCTTCTATTTGATCTCCAAACATGCTAAATTTTACAGCTGCAATGTGGTCAACCACATTTTTCACATCAATAAAGGGTCTTTTCCCTTTACTTATTTGGGTGCAAATATTCATGTCGGTCGTACCCTTAATGTTCATTTTGATCACATTTTGGCCAAATTTGATAACAAACTTGCAGGTTGGAAACACAAGCTACTCTCGACTGGGGGTAGAATGATTCTTATTAACCATGTTTTAAATTCCTTACCGCTTTACCATATGGCTGTTTGCCCCATACCTAAATCAGTTTTTCACAAAATGGAAAGGAGGCTCACTGATTTTCTGTGGGATAGGAATAATGACCATAAAAAGCATGTTTGCAGACGCTGGTCAAAATGTTGCTTCCCGATTCTGGAAAATGGTTTAGGTTTTAGAAGCCTCCCACATATTCAAAAAACCTTCTTCCTCAAACTCCTTTGGAAGCAAGCAAATGGCAAGGGTCTTTGGGCTACATGGGTAAATTCTCTTAATGGTACTGCCAGGTCTGTTATGCACAACTCTCTTGAATCTGTGAGGTCGTTTTGGATAATTTTGCTATGACTATCTGGCATCATTTTGAAAATTGTTTTGACTTTCACCCAAACAAAACTAGCACATTCAGTAATTACATTACTAAATGGTACTTGGATTTCAAAAGCACTATAAATGATTTTAACCACACCCTCCCTAACACCATCACTTGGCACCTTTGGAAAGCTAGAAACAAAGTTCTGTATGATAACAATAAGGCCAACACTCCTGAGGCTATAAAAGCTATTAGAACTGATATTTATGCCATGTCGGTGGCAAAACCTTTCACTACGAATAACCCTAGTGTTCCTTTCAACATTCACTACATCCCTACCAAACATACTGCCAAAAAACCTGCTCTCAAAATCTGGACTAAACCCCCAGATAGCTACTTCAAAGTTAACCTAGCCTCTCGTAATATTACTCCCCATTTGATCCGCTCGGCTGCCATTGTTCGTAACAGTACTGGTAGTTACATGGGTCATGCCACTCACGTGGTTCACCACGGTCATACTACCGATGCTACTTATGATGCTTTAGACTATATTATTCCCCTCCTAAGAAAATTTAACACTCTTAATTTCATTTTTGAGGTGGAAGATAGTAATGTCTACGAAGGACTTCAGGGGATCTCTATACAGCATTGGACATATTGGTCGCAGATCCGAAACATACGCAGAAAACTTGGAAGCTATAACTGGACCATTACTCACGTCAACCCAACCATCAACAAGGCAGCTGATTTTCTTGCATACCGTTGCATGTCTATTAAAACCAATACTCATCATTTTAATCATTTTGTGGGCATTTTAAAGTTTGAGTAGGCTTTGGTTCGGTCCTCCTACTATCTGTATTTCACATTCTCATAATAAATTGGTGGGATGTTCCCTGGCCCCACCCCAGGACCCACGGGTCTTGGAGAATTACCGGGTTAAAAAAAAATATCTCTTCTCATCCACTTTAGAAACTGCAACAATTTATTTATAGGGACCATTATTGGCGGAAAGTCCCTAAAGTTGGGATTATTCTGAAATAATCGATAGTTGGGATTACTATACGCGGACCGCCAATAGTTGAGATTATTACTATCAATTTTTCCTTATTTATATTAAAACTGTCTAATTGTTAACCATTTCTGATTGGCACATTTTGACAATGTATGATATCTTGAATTTACCGTAGGATTTGCATTATAAGAATAAATATATTTGGAATATCTATTTTCTTATAACATTATGTGTATATAAGAATAATTTTTAAGTAAAAATATTATATAACCCACATTCATACATAAATGGAATAGAATAATATAGATTTGAGTAATCTTAAATGATATTAAATGATTGTGTGTCTGTGTTAGCTGTTTTAATTGACTAATTATATTAGATTGCTGTTAATAAATGTTTGGTAAAATTAATTGTTATAAAATAGTTGTTTGAGTGTAAAGAGACGTATAAATTAGACAAAGTATGTATATAATACTTGGGTAATATTGCTGATGATGATGATAATAATAAAAATAAAATTAACAATAATAATAGTAGTATTTAATTAGATAATGAACATTATTAGTGATGTTTTACCAATTTTAAACAGGTTTAAGGTTAGAAACTACATCTTTTTTAGGTATCTTAACAAAGTGGAAAGTTTGAGATGACAATTATCATGTCCACACCTAGCTTATCAGGTAGCCTTGATAAGCCGATTTTCACTGATCGTGTATGCAAAGAAGGCACTGGATAATTGAGAAGCAAAGACATATTTGTTGGGTGTGTCCCGGAAAACAAAGAAAATACAATCAATTAAAATTAATTAAAATGACTAGAGAAAAATAGAAATAAGACAGAGCAGAAATTAGTCAAAGCTCGTAATACGCACAATGTCCTTAAAACGTATTTGTTTCCTAGGATACGGTGACTAATGAACGATCGTTTGAGCACACAAACGAAAGTTCTGGCGAACAGAAATGCAGCAAGAACACTAAGGAAATTTTCAGAAAGCTGGAGGTGTTTTAGAGCTCTAAAATACGTGAAGAATGTGCATTGACGTGTATTGTTGCAAATCACCTGCCAACTATATTTAGGGATAGATTTGTGGTGTGTTAACTGAACTTTAATGGAACTGAACGCTGGACATAAATGACCAGAACATTGGGCATTAATATGTCGAAAAATGTCCATTTAAAGAAGCACTAAAGGGGAAGAACGTTGAGTGTTTAAAGGCCGTAACGCTTCAGAGCAGTTCTGGTGCGACTATGCCAGAAGAGCCCTTCTGATCGGAACATAAGTGGAGCAGTTCTTGTGCAAACAGAACCCCCTTCTGGTCCGGAAAGAGGCGAAGCGATTCTAGTTCTGTTGCGAACTAAACTCAAGCGATTCTACCAGTCTGGAAAAAACTAGGAACGTTACGGGAAGAAACAAAAATTAAATCGTATCTTTGAAAGATAGATTTTCGGACCCCCCCTGCACGCGAAGAGAGCCTTTCCACTTAGGAGTTTTAACTCCTCCAAAGAGGGTTCCCCTTATAAGGGGTGAAAATTCCTTGCCTTTTCCAGTGTGGGATAAATCACACTAGAAACCATCACTTTCCCAGTTTTTCCACTTCAACGAGTGAACTTTGAGAATCAATTTCTCATTCGCCCGTTATCCGTTTTGAGTGTACCACATATCAAATTATAGACCTTAACAAGGACAATCCGAAACCACTTTGACCCGACCCAAATCGGAAGTAGATCCCACTAAAATTTTTGTCTCAAATTGACCATTTAATGCAATTTTTTTAAACATTTTTTCAACAAAATTAATTGCCACATTCACGTTTGAAAATAATAATAATTCTTAATTATTGAATACTAATCTAACACAGAAGATTGGTACTAAGAGGCATTAAGAGGGAGGGCATAAAAGAGAGAAATTGGTACCGCCAATCCGAATCGCTGCCGCATGTAGCTTTTGGGGAGTGTTTGTAAATGTTTTTGCTTTAAAAAATCAATTTTTGAAGCGATTTTGGAAAAAGTGATTCGTAGTAAAGGTTGATAGTGCTTGAAAAAAGTGACTTTGAAAAATAAAAGTTGATAGTGTTTTGTAAAATATGTGTTTTTTTGTGTAACAGAAAGAGTAAAAAGCAGCTTTCAACCAAAAGTCGAGAAACGTTTTTTAAGTAGAAGTTATCACTTCAAAACACCAATTTTATCTTTTTTAAGCCAAAAATCAAGAATCGTTTTTTAAGCGTTTGCAAACAGACCCTTAATACTTGGCTGGTTGGGTCCAATAAGCTAAGTCAATCAATCATTTACTAAACAATAATTTTAATACTAACCTTATCCCTAAAAACCTTGTCATCTTTGATTTTTCAAGTCAATGATGGTAAAATTTGGACCATAATTTTGATTGGTAACAAAGATCATTTTCATATAATTTTTATAATATAAATAATTTTTTATAAAAAAATATAATTGATAAGATGCTCATTCATGTAAGGATTATAAGATTATTCATGATGATGCTCTTATGTGCGGTGACAGACACAAAGAGGGACAAATGGGGTCCCTGTCCACACCAATTGTTTCTATTAGGTATAATTATTACTCTAAGTTTTAATACATACTTGGCTAAAGGATGAAATATGCTCGAACTAATTTAAAAAGTGCAATTCACCCATTATATACGAGGATCTGTCCGGCCGTGTCAATTGGAATGGTTCTTGGTGGAATTTGCCGATGAAATTTCTTGAGCATCTTCTTTATTAAATCTAGTTTACTCATACCAAATTTCAGATAAAAATTCAACCTGGAAAACAGTCAAACGATTTTCTGAAATGTACTGCTCTGTTTAACTGCGCAATTATCTTCAAAAATTCATTTGACTGCCTTCCCGATTGAATTTTTAGCTGCAATTTTAGTATGGGTAAACTAGACTTAATGAAGAAGATGCTCAAAAGATTTCAACAAAAAATTCCACCGGGAACCGTCCCAATTGGCGACGACCGGACCGAGCCTCCTATATAAGGGGTGAATTGCACTTTTTAAGTTAATTCGAGGACCTATTTGACCCTCTAGCCTACATACAGAGTATGTACCAAGTATATTTTTAGAGCTTCTCTTCTTGTACACACTTTAATACTCACCTTATACCCACCATTTCTATGAGAAGATTTTTTTTTATTTGTGAATCCAATTCACAGACAAAATAATTTGCATAGACATATTTTCTCTGTGGCCGAGATTCACAGACAAAAAAAAACTCCTCACAGACATGGTGGGTATAAGAATGAGTACAAACACTTTTTGTTGATATTTTTATGGGGAAAGTTCCTGAAATAGGACTAAAACTGTTTGAAAATTCCAAAATAGGACTGTCATGTTTTTTATTCCCAAAATAAGAGTAATTACTGTCATGTTTGGAAAATACTGCCATGTTTGAAGTCTGGTACTGCCAAAACATGACAGTAATTAATCCTATTTTGGGAATAAAAATATGACAGTCCTATTTTGGAATTTTCAAACCTTTTTAGTCCTATTTCGGATAAAATCTTTCTTTTTTATGCTATGATCGCTCCTCTTATCGGGAATTCTCGCCTCCACTACTACTTATGAGGAAGAGTAATTTTACATTTACCTTTATGACTAAAAATTCGGATTATTTATAGAAAGAAAAGCAGAAAACTGAACAACAGCTTAAAGGTGTAAAGCAAGTGAAAACATAATCAAAGCAAAAAAAATGGAGGGCTTGTTTACTAATAGAGATATTTTCCAGTTTTCCAGAAAATTGGAAAACTGGAAAAAAAAAAAACAGAAAACGTGTTTACCAGAGAAAATTGCTAGAAAACTGGAGAAAGGATAACAGAAAAATGTGTTTACCAAATCATTTTCCAAAACGAAAAAATGAGACATGTGTCTCTTTTCCTTAATGAATTGGAGTAGTGACTTTTACTAGTTTTCCAAATTTGGAAAACGCATATGCTACAGTGCCACTGCAATGTATTTGCATATTTACGCCTAGTGGTGGATCCAGTCCTGCTCCGGTGTCGGTTCCATTCCGGTCAACCACCCTACGGTCCCTATTTAGTTCGGTCAACTACCCTACGGTCCCTATTTAGTCCTGTCAACGACCCGGCGGTCCGGTTCGGTCATTGACCTGACAGTACCTGTTTGGTTAGGTCAACGACTTGGCGGTCCCTGTCCGGTTAGGTCTACAACCCTACGGTCCCTACGTGGTCTGGTCAACGACCCGACAGTCTGATCCGATCACTGACCCGACGGTCCCTGTCCGGTCCGGTTGACGACCGAGCATTCCCTGTCCGGTTGACGACCGAGCATTCCCTGTCCGGTCCGGTCGACGACCCAGTGGTCCCTGTCCGGTCCACGACCCGGCGATCCCCCGTCAAGTCTGGTCCACGACCCTGCGGCCTCTTTTTGGTCTGGTCCACGACTTGACGGTCCATGTCCGGTCCGATCGATGACCCATGGGTCCCTGTCCGGTCCCATCGATGACCCGACGTCCAGTCCGATCCATGACCAGGCGGTCCCTGCCCGGGCCAGTCAATGACCTGGCGGTTCAGTCTCGGTTTTTTCAAAATTCATTTTTTAAAGTGATCAGTTTTAAAAGAGCGTTGAGTTATGAACCACTAGGGAAATGAGAAAAAAATTCGTCAAACTAACCGTTGAGATCGACCGTTACCGACCGGTTTTTGTTCAGACCTTCCTATACGTGGGACCTGGTACCCTATTTGGGTTGTACTAGGTTTGATTTTGGAATGGGTCCGCACTTTCGGTCTTCTGGACGATCAGAGAACCGGGCGAAAAAATTTGTTGAACATATTTTAAGATTTGAAAATGGAAAACTAAAAAATGAAAACCGAAAACTGGAGATAGAAAAACTAGAAAATAAAAACAGAAAATTGGAGAGCGAAACACAGAAAACTAGCACCATTAACAAGCACCCCACATACCACAGTCATTATTATCACCATCATCCTTATTATCAAAACGTTGGTAACTTTTACAGTCTTACCTGCCATTTGTTTTTACCGCATACAGAGTATAAATATTAGTGCCGCCTTCACGTTGTTCCTCTTCGTTCGCTCGCTCCGGCTAGCCCTAGCTTCTTTACTGCCGTAATTCGTAAATCTGAAGCACGTCTACTAAAAAACTGTATGTTTATCAACTCGCATTTCGTGTTTTTTACACTATGTATATTTATCTTCAGTTCAACTCCGGCATTTACTCGGCAAATGACTCAATTACAATCACTGCACACTCCCAATTGATGTATACCTCTGAAATTCTTTATGAGAAACCCGATTTGGGATATCTTCTTTTTGCTGATATGTGTAATTCCATTCTTTCTGCCAACGACTAACTCTTGCAATTTACACTTTAGTTCAACAATTTCATAGTTAAGCTATATGTATACAAATTAATTGTTGCTCTGTATTTGGCTTGTTTTAAGCTAAGCTATCTGGACTATGGAGGAGTCAGATAGATTAAGTGAACTCCCTGCTGATGTACTTGACAAGATTATGGGATTGTTGTGGATAGGAGAAGCTGCTAGATGTGCAGTCTTGTCCACTGTTTTGAGAGATGCTTGGTACAATCTTACCCAGCTTGATTTTGACGATTCCTTCCATGATACCATTTACTCAGATTGTGATGATGACCCAGCCACTTGGCATGATACCATCAACAACTACCTTAAGAAGCACAATGGAAGCATTAAAAAGTTTGGCATTTATTTTAGTCTCCAAGTATATCAATGTGAATTTGATAAGTTGTTCCTTTCTGTGACGAATAAAGGTGTTCAGGAACTCTACATTAAGATATATTGTGATGATCCTATCAAATACAGGCTGCCTGCTTGCATATTTAAATGCCCTACACTGAAGATTGTGCAAGCTTCTGGTGTTAAAATTGACCCGATAAAGGCCCATTGTATATTTCCAAATGTCACTTCTATTTCTTTTAGTGATGTTGACTTCAGCCCTAGGAGTTATCAACTTCATGCTGTTGATGTTCCAATGCTCCAAAAATTGATATTTAGAGGATGTAAAGACATCTCTCATTTTAACATCACTGCTCCGGAACTCGGTATTTTATCAATCAAAGGATGTTACGTTGGCCGTGATCATGACAATGACAATGACCGCCAGAGTGATAGTGATGAAGATAATAACTACTATGAAGATGATGACTCCCGCTATGCAAATGACTATAGAAATGAATTCAGAAAGAGACTATTTGAATACCTTATGTCTCAAGAACGGGACGATGATGATGAAAGTGATTACAATGACAATAGCGATGGCGGAGGTGATGATGATAGTTATATGTTTTGCTATGACCCTCTCAATGGAGAAGACAAATCGGGTGGTGGGTTTCTCCCTGCAAACATGGATTTGGGATCTATTTGTGCACTTCATCTGTGTTGTGATGGTATTGGGGTGTGTTCTAAACCATAAGTTTCGTGCAAATTATTCATTTATATAAAATGCTTTTAGCACATAATCCAATTTTCATTGTATTGCTTTGCAAGGCTGTTGTTGATGACTTTAGAATGAGACCTCAAATGCCAGTGTTAGACGTGAAATACTTAAACCTCTCAGGTGACTATTCTCCAGATTCAGATAGTAACACTAAGTTAGTGAGTTTGCTGCGCAGTTGCCCAAAATTATGCAAACTTGAGATATGTTTTCAGGTAATTCTTGTTTTCACACGTGAATTGTTCAGTGATGACTACCTATCACAGTTTCAATTTGTTATTCTTTATGTTCGAATGCCGAGTTGATCATATTCATCTTTTTTGTGTAGCTTCATGGGTTTGAGTCCCCGGATTGTAGTGGAAGTTTATCTGATCTTTTGGAAGGACATCACAATCTATATTACAGACACAACGCCCTCCAAGTTTTGAAGCTTAGCTTATTCTCAGGGTCCAAATCTGAATTGCAATTTATAACGGGACTAATAGCTTGCTTCCCAACATGTAAGAAGGTGCTTGTTTGTTGTCCGAAAAGGTTCCGGTCCATGGAGAAGGCAAAAATTAAAGAGGAGATTTTGAGTTCTTGTGGTGCCTCATCAGCAGCAAAAATCTATTTGAAGTGAGAAGCCATTTGATTTTATCCATCTCCTAAACCCCCTCATGATATGTAATGGGAGGAAGCTGATCTCTTCTGCTCTGAAGCAGCAAGGAATTTCAATATATATTAGTGAAATGATCTTTGCGTTTTAAGATGGTTTGTTAGAACAAAATTGAGTTTAATAATGTGGTAGGACTCAACTCTCAAGTGCATAGACTGTTAAACCTTATCTGGCTGTCTGGCTGTTCGTAATTGGGGAGAGAACAATTGAGCTCCCAACGACCATCCCCTCCCTTCCCTTTACATGGGGTTTTCCATTCTCCTTTTTATTTTTTTAAGCAGTTCTATATTACTCTTGTTGAAAACAGGCAAACATGGAAGCTGCTACAGTATCGTTAAAAATGGACTATTAGTATGATTTTAGAGAAAATTGACAGTGTTTGAGAAAAAGTATGTTCGAAAAAAGTGAAAGTTGATAGTGTTGATAAAAAAGTCTTGGGAGATTTGCTATTCTAGTCATGTAACTTTTGGTTATCAACATGATTGGTCTTGTAACTTTTCACTTGCAACTTTGCAAGTTTGATCTTGTAACTAGGGATGGACCGAGTCCGTTCCGGGTTGGGCCCGGGCGGGCTTGGATTTTTTGGGGTGAAGCTTGGCAGCGGCCCGTGTGTCTACCAGTACCTGGCCGGAACGGTTCTTTTAATATTTTTTTTAAGTTTTTCTGATTTATTCCCCCCGACCCCCGCCAAAACACCCAACCCACTTTTTACTTTAAAAAATTTCTACTATATATGTAGTATTTTTATAAAACTTTCATACTTTAATTAGATATATATGTTTTCGCCCCCCTTAACTTTTAGTTTTCAAAGCTAATATATAGCCTTACATAGTGTAATACATAGTACTTAATTGGAGATTTAAAAGAAGCAAAATCTCAAATAATTTAGATAGTTTAAGACTTAGGATACCTATTATATAAAAACTCCTAGCTTTGTAATATTTAATTATCTTTATTAGATAATTAGTACTAAATTTTATAAAAAAAACAAACGATATTAAATACCAGACATACTAATTAAGTAGTCTTAGATCATATGAAGTGAATCCAAAATATTAATGTTTGTTGACATTAAATTATACAATTCATTTATTTCTTACTTTCTAAAAGCAATTTATTGCATAAATAATAAACTTTAACGCATTTTAGCATTAATACAAACATAATATGCACCATATATATGAATTAACAATAATACATATAATATTATTCTAAAAATAATAATCTCATACATACTATAGTAATATTAAGAAAACTCTTCGTGACCATGAACACCTTCCTTGTTAGACAAAAACTACGATTCAAAAACAATTCTTTACCCTGATAAGATTCATGTGGTTAAACAAGGCATAAGTTATTTAAAAGGCATTGATTATATTGATGTGTACTTTTAATTTTTTTTACCTTCAAATAATCCGACAAAATGTTATATATCCTTTTTTATTTTCAAATTAATTTCCTTTGGTTTGCAATTTCTTATGCTTTGATGTATCAATACTTTTTTCTACGGCATTTATGGTTACAAAATTACAGTTATTTTTCCAATGTTTAAACTTAGAATGTAATGGATTTAAATGTTACTGTGTATGTACTAATGATTTTTTAAATAAAAATTACCCACAGAGCCCTACAATAGTGAAAAACTTCGTCCCGCTACACTAGCGGGGGGGGGGGGGGGGGATCCCGCTGCATCAGCGAAAAAATTTCGCCCCCCTTGACTCGAAATCCTAGATTCGTCCCTGATTGTGCTTGATATTGTGGAGAAAAACTTATCAAAACATATAAGACCATTCAAATAAGGAGAGAGATATTATAATTGTTGTTTTTTAATTGGCTATCTCTCATGCCATGTATGCACCGTTCAACTTTTGGATTGAAGATGCTCTAATCATAAATATTTGTATTTTTACAAATAAGGAAAATATACTCGGCCTACTTCAAATTTTAATTTTAGGGTAATTTTTTTAAAAACGCCTTGTACCAACTCATCTCAATATAATGTGTTGCCTACTAGTGTATACAATGTATATGAGATTCAAGCCAAGTCATTTTCTTCAATTCCTCTAAACTCTAGAGCATTCCAAGGAAAAAGGTCTGTTGGTATATTGGGCCGAAGCCCAATATACCCGGTCCAAAGTAGCAAGAAAGCCCACAGAAACTAAGAAGCCCGAAAGGACATTGGGACCTCCCGATCGGGGTACCTGACCGGCGTTCGGTGTTACTTTCCTACTTGCGACAATTAGCGGAGTAATAACACTGAAGTTCTACAGTAGGGTCCCACACCCCGGATGGGGTTCCCGAACGGGCATCAACAAGTGGCAGAAAGCATTAAATGCTGGAGTATGGCAATAACAAGTGGGGGCATGAGTGCACAAGTGGCAGGAGCAGCAGCCAACGGGGTTCGACCACGTCAGCAACTCACCTCCCCCCTCCCTAGTATAAATACATGCGTTGAATACATTGTAAGGGGTTGACAATTTGATACTCAGAGCTTAGCAATAGAATCATACGGAGTATCTCTATTCTTGTATTTAAACTCATACCGACAGACCGTTCGAGTAGTTTCTTTGTAATCGCAGAATTACGTAATACAATTAGCTTCTGAGTTAAATCTTAATCCACTGTTTTATATTTTATATTTTATACACCTTTTAACCAAGACAAACATCCTTAATATCCAAAGCGTGTGTTGGGCTTTCGGATCTACGGGACTAAACCTCAACAAGGTCAAATAGACTCTTCTAATATTTTTAATCCATCACTTAATTTTATATATTAAAAAAGTTTAAATATGTTTTTGGTCCCTGCAAATATAATACATTTTGTTTTGCATCCTTGCAATTTTTTTTCATCCCTGAAATTTACCGATGATAACAACTTCCATTTAATCTCACAATAAACCCGACTAGTAGATTTTCTGTAATTCTTTGATGTGTTATTCAAAACTATTTAATTTTATATTTTAGAAGTTTTTAAGAACATACTTTTAAAATGTGAATAATTAGTTTTGCATTGTTTTAACTTTCATTTAAAATGTTTCTAGTACATTTAAACAACTCACAATAACTTTTTCCATTTAGAGTGATTTTAAAGTTAGTCTTAGACATATACTAAGAGCAAAATAATGCATATTATATAGATGAAAAACAAAATAATTGTTTTGTAGAGATCTAAAATATGCAATTGGAATGTAATAAACGGAATGTATTTTTAGAAGCAATTATAAATGTAATTATAGATTTTTAAGAAATGGATACATGTCCATCCATAGATTTAATTCAAAGTGTGGATTTTTAAAAGTCTACAATATCCCTTTACAATACATTCTTCATAGTAAATTTTAATCTGCTCTGATGGCCTTGAAATTCTCCTTATTTACATACTATTTGCGCCATTTTCAGCAAATCGGATTGCTTTTAAATAATAATTTAACTTTAGTTCCTTTTATTACATTTTAAAATTAAGGGGGTGGGGATGGGGATGGATTGACCGTAATTGTCAAGGGGAATTGGGTGGGTGCTTATAGTGAAGCAAATAAAGAGGAATGATCACCGATTGAAATGGAAGCAACGGGAGTTCGGGCAGCTATTATGGGGGCTATCAGACATGAATGGCAGCAGGTAGAGTTTAAGTCAGACGCCCTTCAGGTCGTTCAAGCAGTTCGTAAGGGAGGAGATCAGACCTGTCTACATCTAGTTATAGATGATATTCGTCATTTATTAAAAGAGAATGTGAATTTTTCCCTCTCGTATTGTAAAAGGCACGCCAATTGTGTTGCTCATGCAATTACAAAGGGTAGCGTGTTAAGTCCAGACCGCAGGGGATTCAATCTTGGCAAATGATTTACTTTATTAAATGAAAGGCTTTTTTATCATTAAAAAAAGAATTCAATCGTGGCAGGATCATCGTTGCATTTAGCGGAGAGGTCGTAGCTAGGGGAGATCGGCAAAACACGCAAAAGTTTATAGGTAGGGGTGAGCAATTCAGTTTGCGGTTAGTTTTCTTCAGTTTTGGTTCGATTTATTTGGTTTGGGAGATATTGTACCAAACTAAATTCATTTGAGTTTCAATTTGGTTTCAGTTTGGTTTCGATTTGGTTTGGTTTACCAAAGTGAAAATTATTAGGTTCAATTTAGTTCGATTCAGTTTTTTATGTTTTCTATTTTATTTGATCAAGTTCTATATTTTAGAATTAGAAAACGAAAGAAGTAGTCCATCTCATCTTCTTGTATTTATGATTTAAATAAAATGTAAAAGGAAATAAAAGATAGAAAAAATAATAAATATTACAATAGTATAAATTAACACCTAATTTGTCTTACTAACACTGCTGACATTAAAACTTCTAAAATCTTTTCGATCGCTAGAAAAATGATTCACTTCTCACAAAAAAAATAATATTCACAAAATAAATAATATCTCATAAAATATTCAAAAAAACTAAATGAGTCGGTGGTACAAAAGTTGTAATATTCACAATTTTATTCAAATGAATCATGTAAAAACATATAAATTCAACTTGTTATTGTTATCGCCAAACATCTTTTCAAATAGGTAGAGTACAAAACATAACAAACACAAATATGTCGTAGTAGCTAACTTTGTCATAATGAATATTGATGGAGTATATGACCTGGGGACCCCCGGCCCATAAACTCCTACTTCTCCTACACAAGCCCATCAAGCCCACTGAACACACAAGACCCAAACACAGTGGCCCAAGTGTTAAGAAGCCCACGGTGCACATATGAGTGTCTTCGGCTCTATGGTCGAAGGCTCCAGATTCCACAGGACAACTAGATTCAAGCATACAACGTCACTGGGAGAAAAAGGCAGAAAATAGGAGCCTTCGGCTTCTAGACGCTGTCGGCCACATAGGGCCTTCGGCTCTACAGAGTCTTCGACTACAGCACAATTAGCGAAAATTCAAAGCAACCACCGCATTCAATGCGACGTCACATCCAACCACCGCATTTAATGCGGTGCACATGCAAATGCCGATGCCACCCCGATTGAGGTGACCCCTCAGCCGTCAGATTATTGACACGTGTACTCCCATCGCATTTATGACGGCTATAAATAGCACCCCTTTTTCCTCTTATAAAGCACCAGAACATCTCAAGTTCATTTAATATATTTGACTCTCTCTCCTACTTGTTTGCTCTGACTTCTCTCTAGGTTATTCCTCGAATAACCCCTCGGATAAGCTACCCCCAGGTACACTGTCCATCAAATATATAAAATGTGTAAGAGTTAAAATCATATACGTTAAACATGTATTTTTCATATCTAAATTATTTATTTATATCCTAATGATTAAGAGCGAAGATTGATACAAATTATTAATCTTGGTTTACGGTTTTTCTATTTTAAACCAAACAAAACCAAATTACCAATTTTTTGGTTTGGTTTGGTTCGATTAAACCAAACCATTTTGCCCAACCCTAGTTTTAGCCTTTTAGGCGAGACAAAGGAAGCGACGAACGACCGGCGTAGGGACGGACGTCGCAGGAAGGCTAAACATGGTCTTCCATGAAGTGTCAGGTAGCGTGGCGGACGTCGGTGGCGATTCTCCACGGCGACAGGGTTCCGGTTGATCAGGAAGATAAAAGCAGGAGAAGGCGGCATGGAGATACTATGCCAATCATAAGGAAGGTGGAAGATCCAGGATCGGCAAAATTCAGGGCTTGTGGCGGTGACCTTTTACGAGCGGACCAGAATAAGGGATTGAGTGGAAGGTTTTTCTTGATGTGGCACGTAGAATACCATATTTAGGTGATGGAGGAAGAAGATGAAGTGTTGATGATCTTCTTCCCTCCTGAACAGCCACCATGGAGGATGATGCTTGAAGTATGGATTCGGTTGCTCTATCAAATTATTTTATTTAATTCCATTTTACTCTTTTTGAGTTTTTTAATTATGAACTATGTTGTTATCCTTATTTCGAACACTAAGGGAGTAGGGTTGTTGTTCAGTTTATTTCATTAGATAAGTTTTTGTTGGGAGGGAATCAGACTGACTCAGTCATTAATACCCTTTTTGTTCTCGTCGTTTCAGCGATCAGTCCCAGTCTGTCTGGGGTGGATTATTCTATTTCTGATCCATGATGTGAGGGGGTCGATGGACTTTTGGTATTGTTCGAAGAGAGGGAGATGGAGGTCTTGAGACATGTTTGTTGTTTTGGCTCGTTTGATTTTAATATATGCTATTCCCTTTAAAAAAAGATTTCAATGATGATCAAGTACATTGTGGTTTGATGACACCACTGTGACACTTTCAAGGAGGAGGTCACATGTTCGAAAGAGAACGTACAACAAAAAAAGAAGAAGAAAGAATTCAATTGTGACTATATTACTAAAATTGATATATGACTGCATTAAATACCAATTAACAATCGTAAAATTGAACTTAATTGAACTAAATTAGTTCGATTAAGTGTGAAGTGTAACAAGATTCAATAATCTTTGTAGCAATATATTTAAAAAATTACAAATAAGTTAATATCCACTAATCAGTGAGAGTACCATATCTACAATGCATAAGATTAATTCATATCATTATTTGTCATTTATTTATGTTAACCATTTCTAATCGATACATTTCGACAAAGTGATATCTTTAAGAGAGAATTTCCTAAATAGGAGTAAAAGTTTTTTGAAATTCCAAAATAGGAGTATCATGTTTTTTATTCCCTAAATAGGAGTAAATTTTTTCCAAGTTTGGGCATTATAAGGCTTTAAACATGACATTTTTTCCCAAACTTGGCAGATTACTCCTATTCAAGGAATAAAAAACATGATACTCCTATTTTGGAATTTCAAAACCTTTTTACTCCTATTTAGGGCAATTTCTGTATCTTTAACTTATCTTAGGATTTTCATTATAAAAATAAATATATATAGAATATCTATTTTCTTATAACATTTTTGTGCAAAATTATGATAGTGCATTTTTTTAATCATTAAAACGGCTTTTCATTCATATAGAACAAACATGCAAGATAAAATCCAAACATAAAATGGAATAGAAAATATAGGGTTTTTAAGATAGTGTAATGGTTAACAATAGTATTTTAAGTAAAAATATTATGTAACCACATTCATATGACTGGACTCAAGTATAAATGGAATAGAAAATACAGGTTCACGTATTCTTAAATGAAAATATGACTGGACTCAAGTATAAAAAATAATATGATTAATGTGCATTGATTCTTTATTACCCGGATAACATTGTAAAAAATGAAGGGAAAATGGTCAAACAAGTCATTCTACTATTTCTAAACCGATCACTCAAGCATTTGTATTAAAAATGTCATATAAGTACACATATTTTAAAAAATTCATCAATTTGGTCATTTATTCAGTTCTAGACCTGTAATAACAGGTTTGTTATATTAAAAAAAATTAAGAAAAATGTTAATATTTGAAAAAATATACTCCCTCCGTCCCTGCTTTATCTTCTCATTTGACCCGGCACGGAGGTTAAGATAGTGGACTTTTTGTGGTGAAGAGTTGTGCAGAGAAGAGAGAAATGTGTAAGAATTATTGTGAATCACAAATTCTTTGCCAAAAAGGGAAAGAGAAGATAATTTTGGGACGAACAAAAAAGGAAAGTTTGAAGATAATTCAGGAACAGAGGAAGTAGATAAAAATTGTGAAAAAATTGGCATTATCCACCACTGTTTAGAGTATCTCCAATGCTACAATGTGCACGGTGCATATGTGGCATGCAATATAGGCACACAAATATTATCAAATAAATTTTCTCTCTCCTTATTTGAATGGTTTTATACGATTTTGGTATGTTTTTCTCTTCAATGTCAATCACAATGTCAACATCTAGACGGTCTTGTTGACATTGTGGAGAAAAAATTACCAAAATTATATAAAATAAATCAAATAAGGAGAAAGATAATTTTTTGTTAAAATTTATGTAATTATCTCTCATGCCACATGTGCGCCATGAACACTATAGCATTGAAGATGATCAGGAAAAGTCATTTTACATTTAAATTCATGATTAAAAGGTGGAATTATTTATAGAAAAATAAAAAGCAAAAACCAAACAAATGTTTAAAGCAAGTGAAAACTTAATCAAAGCAAAGAAATTGCAGTGTGTTTTAAAAAGGAATGACAGAGCTGTTATCTTCAGCAGTTTACAGTTTTACACTTTACAGTTAACAAGCACCACAGTCATTATTGTCATCTTCATCAAAACGTGGTAACTTTTACAGTTTGACCTACCAATCTACCATTTGTTTTTACCCCACACGGTGTATAAATTTTAGTGCGGCCTTCAACATTGCTCCTCTTCAGTCTTCACTGCAAAGCTCGTTCGCTCACTCGCTCTGGCTAGCCCTAACTTCTTTACTGCAGTAGTTTGTAATCTGAAGCACGTCTACCATAAGGCTGTATGTATATATATATATCAACTCACATTCGTGTTTTTTACACTATGTTTATTTATCTTCAGTTCAAGTCGGCAAATGACTCAAAATACAATCACTGCACACTCCTGAAATTCTTTATGAGAATCCCGATTTTGGATATCTTCTTTTTGCTGATATGTGTAATTCCCTTCTTTCTCTATACAAATTAATTGTTGCTCTGTATTTGGCCTGTTTATGCTAAGCTATCTGACTATGGAGGAGCCAGACAGAATAAGTGAACTCCCTGCAGATATACTTGACAAGATTTTGGGATTATTGTGGATTGGAGAAGCCGCTAGATGTGCCGTCTTGTCCACCGCTTTGAGAGATGCTTGGTACAATCTTACTGAGCTTGATTTTGATGATGCCTTCCATCATAACATTGACTCAGATTATGATGATGACCCCGGCATTTGGCATGATACCGTCAACAATTACCTTAAGAAGCACACCGGAAGCATTAAAAAGTTCGACATTTGTTTTAGTTGCCGAGAATATCAATGTGATTTTGATATGTTGTTGCTTTCTGTGACGAAGAAAGGTGTTCAAGAACTCTACATTACAATATATACCGATGATCCTATTAAATACAGGCTGCCTGCTTGCATATTTAAATGCCCTACACTGAAGATTTTGCAAGCTTCTGGTGTTAAAATTGACCCGATAAAGGCGCGTTGTATATTTCCAAATGTTACTTCTATTAGTTTTAGTTATGTTGACTTCAGCCCTAGGAATCCTCAACTTCATGCTGTTGATATTCCAATGCTCGAAAGATTGGAATTCAAATCATGCAAAGACATTTCTCATTTTAACATCACTGCTCCGAAACTTGGTGTTTTATCAATTAAAGATTGTTACATTGGCCGTGATCATGATAGTGATGACGATGATTACTACTATGAAGATGATGACTCCCACTATGCAAATGCTATAAATGAATTCAATAAGAGACTACTTGAATTCTTTATGTCTGAAGAAGAGGATGATGATGATGATGATGATGATGAAAGTGATTACAATGACAATAGCAATAGTGGAGGTGATGATGATGATGATGATAGTGATATGTTTTGCTATGACCCTCTCAATGGAGAAGACAAATCGGGTGGTGGTTTTCTCCCTGCAAACATGGATTTGGGATCTATTCGTGCACTTCATTTGTGTCGTGGTGGTATTGGGGTATGTGTACTATGCCATAAGTTTCACGCAGATTATTCATTTATTTAAAATGTTTATAGCAAATAATTCAGTTTTCATTGTATTGCTTTGCAAGGCTGTTGTTGATGACTTTAGAATGAGACTTCAAATGCCAGTGTTAGACGTGAAATACTTAAACCTCTCAGGTGACTATTTTCCACATTCAGATAGTAACTCTAAGTTAGTGAGTTTGCTGCGAAGTTGCCCAAAATTATGCAAACTTGAGATATGTTTTCAGGTAATTCTTGTTTTCACATGTGGATTGTTCTTTATGTTTAAATGCTGAGTTGATCAGATTCATCATTTTTGTGTAGCGTCATGGGTTTGAGCCCCTTGATTGTAGTGGAAGTTTTTCTGATGTTTTGGAAAGACATCACAATCTACATTACAGACACAACGCCCTCCGAGTTTTGAAGCTTAACTTATTCTCAGGGTCCAAATCTGAATTGCAATTTATAAGGGGACTAATAGCTTGCTTCCCAACATGTAAGAAGGTGCTTGTTTGTTGTCCGAAAAGGTTCCGGTCCAGGGAGAAGGCAAAAATTAAAGAGGAGATTTTGAGTTCTTGTGCTGCCTCATCAGCAGCAAAGATCTATTTGAAGTGAGAAGCCTTATAGGTTTATCCATGTCCTAAACCCTCGTGATATGTATGGGAGGAAGCTGATCTCTTCTGCTCTGAAGCAGCAAGGAATTTCAATATATATTGGTGTAAAAGGATCTTTGCGTTTTTAGCTGTTTTGTTAGAACTAAACTGAATTTAGTTCTGTGGTAGGACGCAAGTACATAGACTGGTAAGCTTTATCTTAGATGTTTGTAATTGGGGAGAGAACGAATATGTTCCTAAGTACCCTCCGCTTTATATTAGTTTTTCCATATTCCATTTCAGCTGCTCCATAATGGTAGCCCGTCTTTGTTAGAGTCAAGCTTCATTTTCTTCAAATAAGCACAAGCAGTAGCATCAGGGAGACAGCCTTCACACTTCGCAGGCTCCCTGCTTCTTCTTTCTTCTCAAGCTCATCCCTATCAAGGCCTTCAAAAGTTTATTATCAGCCTGTGTAATTTGGTCAATACTCATGGTTATGCTTAGATATTAATTTTTAGTCTTCATCCAGTAAAGTCATGTATTGGTTGAGATTTCTTAGGTCTGGATTAGAAATGGTTGATTTGAGAGATATGCATATAATTATATAAATCTTTGATGATAACAAAGTATTTTATGCACGCATGCAAAAAAGATTATATCAAGTACGTAGTATTACTTATTTTGATTATTTCACATCTTAGTGCGCATAATAAAAGTTAATATTTGATAAAAACTCAAAATACTAATCCAATGTGATAATGACATATATCCGTAGATGAAATCGTGAATATGACTACTACGTATAAAAAGAGTTTTACTTTGCATGCCTTCGTCCTATTTAATATCAAAGGAGTTTTGATTTGCAACTAGTTCTATCTAAAAAAGCTATTATTGTAATTTTATATTAACAATCTCTATATTTGTATACTGTTGGAGTAGGGTTAGACTCGGGCCGAGCCGGGCCGGGCCGGGCCGGGTTCGGGCCGGGCCTAAGCCTGGGCGGGCCGCCGGTTCTGAATTGTTGGGCCCGGGACCGGCCTGGGTAGCTACCGGGTCCGGTCCGGGCCTCAGGTTTGTTTTTTTATTTCCTAAGTATCCCTGACCCCCCCTCACCCCCCAAACTCCTAAACATCAAGCCCAACTCGGGTGGAACCCAAAAAAATGAAAAAACAAAAAAAAATCAATTTGGCCCGAACCGGGCCCGGGCCCGGCCGGGCCGGGTCTCATTTTGAAGGAACTGTGCCCGGAACCGTCCCCTCCTTGGGCCGGGTCAAAGCCCGGTACCCAGGCCAGTCCCGGGCCCGCACAGTAGCGGGCCGGGTGGCCCGACCCGAGTCCACCACTATGTTGGAGTACCACACTTTACATCTTTACATAACTAGTAAACTCACCCGTGCGATGCACGACATGAGATTTTTTTCCTGAAATTTATTTGTGTTTGAGAATTCACAACACTCTATTAATCGACTACGCTATCCAACGTCATGTAATATAATGAAGAAGATATACATCAACACTATACACGAAACACACTGATAATATTATGCTGAAAATGAGAGAACCAAGCATTACCTAAAAGTTCAAAAACATCTCAATATTTTGTTGAAATCATTATTTTTTTTAAATATTTGTTTAAAGTTAATCTAAACATTGTTGAACACTTCTTTAAATACAACATTCCGAGTCTTGTCAGTGGTTCCTCTCATCTTCGTCAACAATTAGAATTTTCAAATCACACTTATTGGTCACCCTTGATACTGCAACATACAACTGTCCGTGGGTAAATACCGGTTTTTTCAACATCAACCCAACACGCGACAAAGATTGACCTTGACTTTTATTTGTATTCATAGCATATGAAGTCATAACATGATATTGTCGCCTATGAAATTTGCAAGGCATGATGGCATCCGATGGTGTCAATGACAATCTCGGAATCAATACTTTTTGTCTGGCACTGAGACTTGTTAAAATCTTCCCCTCCAAAACATGATCACCAAGCCTCGTTAGAATAAGACGTGTCCCGTTACACAACCCCATTGAACGGTCGATATTTCGTAAAAGCATTACCGGGGTCCCTACCTTTAACGTTAACTCGTGATTTGGAACACTGAATAACTTTATACTATTCAAGAACTCGGGTCTGTGAAGCTCCGCCATCAAATCGGATGTGAAATCTACCTTAGAAACAGTGTCAGAACTAAGATATGTCCGTGAAACTTCGCGAACGTTAAAAAAGTAAATTTAATAATTATATTCAAAAGGCCGGTTGATATAATTGGCAACTTTGAAAAATTAAACATTAGGCTGCGAAAACATGGGTTGATGCTGAGATTCGGATCAACAGCCCAACGGATTCAGACGGGCCGGCTTAGAAATCCTAATATTCCCGACCCATCAACCCAAAAAATATAAACCTGCCACACACACACTCCGTACCCAAACCCTCCTCATTTTACGCCGACCCCTTGACCCCCCTCTGACCCTCTCTCTAACGACCGATTTTCTTCCATGAAAAAAACCCTTCGCAGCCCCCTTCAGACCTTCGATGAAAACAACCGGCGACCAAAAACACCATGGACACTCCACAGTTTAACCCCACGCTCCGCGCCGGTAGTCACCTCCGCACACAAAGAGATGGCACATCCGACATGCTGACCTCCTTCCACCATCCCCAACCACGACACGCGGGAGACGCTAAAGCCGACGATCCAAGATGACTCCACCCACAACATCCGGGGACGGATCTTTGACGTTAAATGGTGGCTCCTTCACAGGTAACCTACCTCACCGCCCACCAAACCAAAACACAAACACCAAACCTATACCCTACACGAACGAACGCAACACGCCCTTCAACAAAGATTTTTGAACGGGCAAACACAACACAAACCACACACATCCTCGCACGATAGATCTGTTTAACACTTTAAGATCAACCTGTTTTATCACCGTTCCCACCGGCCCACATGATTGTTTTTTTTATTTTTTTGGGCAAAACTGGGAAAATACACTACCTCTAACCAAAAAATTTCTAAATAACACAGATCTGCAGACCCAACCATTTGGCACGAATGTATTTTCATTTTCTCGTAATTTTTATAATTCTTTCATAACCTAATAATTTTTATAATTTTTCCATAACTTAATAATTCATAGCCAACATTATTTTCACTATAACAGTTATAAAAATAAATATATCCGCATGAAAATATTTTCGGTAAAATTTATTTTTTTAAAAATACTATAGCCCCTTTTAGAGAAACAGATTTTGCATCTACAAAAACAATTTTTTAAGATAACAGTACGAATAAGTGGTTCTTCAATTTTGTTAATTACCTCCAATACACTGTGAGGGAGTATAACAACAGTCTCGAAACAACAGTTTTACAATTTATTGAAATGGTTTTTTTATTTTATTTTATTTTAACACATCTTTCATAAAATAATTTTTATAAAATAGGAACGGTTGATGAAATTTAAATTTCATTATCCTCTAAAATTTTAAAAGAATCTAGATAATAATATTTCTAGCCTTTTTTTTAAATTGTCAACAATATAGGGATAATATTTCTGGTAAAAATTAAGCTCTGGAAGAAGAATCTAGACAGCTGTACCGACAACTCATTGTGCACACACAGAGTAATAAAACAGCCGGTCTCACCCACTTCAGTTTTTCAAATTTAAAACCACACATCACCCGACACCTCAATTAATGTGAACCACCTACCGCCCAATTAATATTCTAGCTCAACCCAACAACCACCGAACTTAATGTTCTGGATTCACCTATCACATTAATATCTTTTAAATAAAAAACCTACACAGCCCTATTCTAAATTTTAAAAACCCACCCACCACACTTATTAGTCTTGAACCACCCCTGCACTATTTATTCTGCTGCCATCCACCACATTAATTTTTTACCCCAACTTTTACTTTTCCTTCCATTTTTAACCCCTTTCCTTCCATTTGTACCCATTTCCTTTCATTTTTTAAAACAAGCATTTTCCTTTCATTTTTACACCCTCACCCAACGCACTATTTATTCTGCTTACCACCCACCAATAGTTAATAAACAAACTGTTTTCCACACACACTTACTCAAGAAGCTATTTTTAACAACCTCTTATTGTAAAATAATCTATTTTCTAACCGTTACACACGCAGATTTTTTTTGAAAGAAACATTCAATAATTGAACACCAAACATCACAATTTGAACAGAACTAAATTTCCATCTAGGCATGAGATATATAGATACCTGAATGTGGTCTCTTGCGATCGATTATGACCGATCTGGTTAGCTTAGGCATCAACAATGACCGCGGCAGAAAATTAGCCAGTTCCTGCTGGACACACACTTTTCCCAGCTAAAATCTAGGTATGAAAAAAATTTCTATCAAATTGTATAGCCGTATAATAATAATCTCTTAAAACGTTATTCCACACAAAGGATGCACCCCACGCACACATCAAACATAAACAGTTTAATAGTAACAAGCCATCAACAAAATACTACCTCCGTCCCATTTATATTGTCCCGGAAGAGGGTGGCACGGTTATTAAGAAAAATGAGTTTGTGTGGTTGATATTAATTGATAAAGTAAGAATAAAGTAAGAATGATTTAGAGCCACACAAACTTTGCCAAATATGGTATAAGACATATTAAGTGGGACTTCCCGAAAAGGTAAAACGGGACAATACAAATGGGACGGAGGGGAGTATTCAAAACATTCATACTATTAAACACTGGTGGGCAAAACACACAGTAGGAGTACATTAGGCTATGTAAGGACAGGTCAGCCATGAACAGTGCAGGCAACACAATCCCATAATACTAAAATTACATTAGGTCATAATTATGAAGCAAGCCAACTGAAATCAAACTCCATAACAAATTGCCCATTGAAGTTACACTTGTTCAAACAGATTGAGCGTGTAGAAAACCTCAAGACAACGTCATCACTCACATCCGCGGGGGGCGTCCCCGGGGCCACCCCCGAAGGCTCACCAATGGTTTCAAAGCACCACCCGAGATTAGGATCTCCATAATCAGGTGAAAGGGCTTCCGGCGAAGGCAGTGTGGGGATCGGGAGCTTCATTAATCAGAAAATCTAGGTCATACATAGCATAACACTAAAGACAAATCTCCAGATCGACACAAACAACTGTACGCATCAGATTTTCTGTGAACATTCAAAAACAGTTTTGACACTGCCTTATAAATCCGCCAGCAACCATACCAACACCCAAATCAAGTAAGCCCGCCTCAGTAGCCATTCCTGTATATTCTACGCAAATATGAAAACAATATGATATAGGAAACCATAGAACCTTAGTTGAAAATTAACTTTCACTATGATATATTTAAAATAGGTTCATCTCGCTTAGTATTTGGAAGTGTTACATCCTCCTTTACAAAATATTGTTCAGATTCAACCTCCAGTGTTATGTTGATTTGCTCTCCATTCTTAAAGCCCTCCTCATGAATGAGTGTTAAACTCCAGATTTTATGATATAAATGAAAGAAATCAAAGTGACGTTTAAGGCAGCCTTCAAACATAAATTTTGAAATCAGTAAAAAATATTTTGTCCACAACTATAATATCAAACTACTAAGAAAAAACCTCTTGAGAATG